CGCTCGGGCGCAAAATCGTTCTGGTTCGACTAAATATTATTATTAAACTATTTTTTGATATTATGTATTTTCTCTCCATTTTCCCTGTCCAGGTCCAGAACAGGATTATTTTCATAACTGAATCATCAAATAATAAAATTTTTGCTTATAAAATATTTTTTCTACAAAACTGTTAAAAGTGGGCTTTTTAATTGTAAGTAAGTTACTTTTAACACTAGTGTTAAAAGTAACTTACTTTTAACACGCGTGTCAAAAAATGACATTTTTAACATCAAAAATGACAATTAAAAAGCCCACTTTTAACAGTTTTGTAGAAAAAATAGTGTATGATATACGTGTTAAAAGTGATTTTATTTTGTTCGTGAAGTTAAAAAACTCGCTACGTTCGTTTTTTAATCATCTTCACTCACAAAATAAAATCTTACTTTTAACACGTATATCATAAATAGCTATTTTCCCTTTCATTTTCAATGCAGAGCTTTAAAATTATATTTTTTTTAATAATTTTTGCCAATATCTCCAAAATATATTGACGTATCGTATTTAAATTTGGATTGTTTGATTTGTTTTCAAATAAGCTGTATACGATAGGAAAAAGTTTTTTCAAAAGTCTGATTTCTATGTGTGAATTGTTTTTACTATCTTTAGCATAAAAATTTTATATTCCTGAACTATTTGTTGCCGTTATTTCTTTTGTGAATTGTTCGAAAACTGCTGTTCTTAACGAAATTCTAAAAAAGGCAAAATGTTCGTTTTTTAATGACACTCTAAGGACTTACCTATAAAACTTCAAAAAGTCAGTGGCGTACCATTTTTTTTTTCGATAAATACGCTCATACGTATGGGAAAAAAATGAGAAACGACCAAATGAAACATTTTAATTGATTCCATTAAATTATCTTGTTCTGCTAAACGAAGTCAAATATTCCCTACTTAATACGCCTGTTTGAACATACGACTTCATTAAAGTTGCATCTTCTTATGGAATGGGCCCGTTATCATTAACAAGTTAGTAAATACGTCGCAGGCAATGGCTCGTCTCCAATTAGATATCTCGTTTCAGTTGATCGAAAGGAATTAAGTTACAAATTAAAACATGTGTAATTTGAACGAGGTCGGTTCTGGTTAATTTGCATGGAAATTACCCCGGAGTCCGGCAGAAACAGGAAACGGGAGGCTTTGATATGCGCGCCCCTGTCTTTTTTCTCGTCGACGGTCGGACGCCTATTATTCAATTAAAACTGAAATACGAGCTCGTAGGTGATGGCTAGCCGGATCGTGATTTTCTCTTTGCGCTACTTCGCGGCTTCCTCCTCGGACAAGGGAATGATTAGCGAGCCGGGAAAATTACAGAATGCGCCTGGAAATTATACAAAAATCCTTTAAATGGCCGTCCTTAACAGGAGCGCAGTTAAAGGTTGCTTTCGGTTGATCTTTAACGAAACACATAAATGTATATGTTGGCTTGTGAAAACAACTAAAATAGTTACTTATGATACAAGCGTTGAAAGTGACATTTCATTTTGTGAGTGGGGAATACCCTACGAACAAAATAAAACCACTTCTAACAAATAATGTATCATATAATATTTTTTGTAAATCTGTAAAAAAAATGCCCTCTGTGGGTTTGAACTCCCGATAATCGCTTACGTATCGGACGCGTTAGGATTGTACACCAGGGAAATTAGCGAAAATAAAAGGGAAACTCGAAAAAAGTCCTATCCGCGAGATTATTGTAAAATTGTCTAAAGGAACAAAATACAAGACATCTCTCATCTCGTGAGTCAAAAAATTTTAATAGCTAACTTTTCTATTTAAACAAATAAGTGAGGAAAACAGTTTTTTTCACTTTGCAGGGAAAACTATCAATTTTAGCGAAAAGTGACTCGCAGACAGCTTGTAGCTTCATTTATTTATTTAATAATAGTAAGATAATTCCGAAATTGAAATTTTAATTAATATTTCCTCTAACAATAATTTTGTGACATTTTTGTAAATTTAAAAAAAAAATTATAAAAGATGCATTTTTTCTGGGGTTCAGGACTATTCTATGAATTCGTAAATATGCCCATTGTTATTTTTTCGTCGAGCTACCCCAGTTTAAAAGAAAGAATAAGTTTCTATGATGAATAGAAGCTGAGATATTGCAAAATTTACAGCGCGCATCAATTTGAACTTTTTTTGAGAACAATTTAAGAAAAAAATCTTATCTTGGCTCCTGTTGGTCGTAGAGGGTACTTTTTTATTTTAAAACTGTATTTTTTTGCCAGCTATCCATTGCATCTATTTTCCGTGATATAGCATAAATAGCAACAATGTTATTCCTATTATTTATAAGCGAAAAACGCATGGTTTTTTAATGAACAATTTGAGAATGTTAATGTCAAAAAAACGGTGATATTTTTTAATAGGTCGCTTAATTACGTCTTTAAGATTACAATGACGCTTTCAGAATCATGTTTGGTTGAAAATTAACGCCTGTACAGGCTTAAATTTCATAACTTTTGAAGCCTCCGTTAAACAAATAGAATTGTGCGAAAACTATTGCACCTATAGCGCCCACTTTTGGCACACTTTTGAAGTATGACTAAACCCTCAATTTGTCATAGGTTTTATAAAATTTTAACAATAAATGCGATAGTTATAAACAAATTAAAAAATGGGCACTTTTCTTGTTTTTTTTTTGCAATAACTTTTTTGTTTATTAACCGATTTTAATTTAACAAGTCTCATTTTGTAGATAATGTTACTCCCTACAAGCTGTCACTTTTCGCTAAAATTGATGGTTTTCCCCTGCAAATAGACAATTTTACAATAATCTCGCGGATAGGACTTTTTTCGAGTAAAAATTTAATTTGGTTGGTCTACTGAGCCACTCGTTCATTTTAATTTTGATAAAAGGTAATAAATAGACCAGGGATATGAGGAAAATGTCGTGACTGTTGAGTAGCCGGGGATCTGTAAAGTTTTTCATAAAATTTGGGTGAATTTTAGTATAATATGTGTAAAACCCACACACCATCAGGTAAGGTTTTTTAATAATTAACAATAAAAGGTCTAAAATAACCTAAAATAATATTTTTGCCTACCAGAAAAAAAAACGATAATTTTTATTATAATGTGAAAGTAACTAACTTGTAAGGAATACAAAACCTTTAAAATGGCGGTTTTTAAAATCCGATACGATAATTTGTTGCTCGGGAAATTGCAAAAAACTGTCAAAATTCGATTATTACTAAAGAAACAATAAGTTTTGCAAAAGTCAACCTACGACTTTCATATTGCATAAATAGTTGGCTTTTATAGTCCTTAATATGTGGTTAAAATTTCAAACCAATTCATCCAATAGTTTTTGCAAAATTCTAAATGTTTATCCCAGAGGCATTATTTTTGCAATAACTTGATACGCAAAATTACCACGATAGTTTAATTCTGCGGGTGTCATATGAAAGAGAAAGACTTCTTTTATAGGATGAAATTATTTTATTGCAAAAAAATTTGTTTTTTACCACTGCAAAAACGTACGACAAAAACACTGTCATTTTTGTCTTATAAACAATTAGAATAAATTTGTTGCTATTATATTTAGAGAGATTATTTTTCCATATTCGTAAAGCTGGTATTTTTACACAAATTTTAAAAAAAAAAGTAGCTCTAGCTTAATTTGGGGCAAAGTTACACTTTTTTTTTAAATCACAGCTACTTTGTTTATAACAATTAAGACTTCTAATAAGTGCCATTTCGAAGATAAAGAGCTAAAGTTTCTATGTGAAATTTTTGAGGACGATAGCTTTGTAACAACATCTCTGAGAATACTCCAAATAATGACTTCGATACAAGATGACTGTGAGTCAGTGGAGGGGGAATCTACAAATCCACGAGCAAATTGATAGAGCAAGTTATATCTCTGGAACTTGTTGACCGATTTTGATGTTTTTTAATTTGGGGTACCTTCTTGCGTACATTACAAATATGCATTAATAAATAAAAATTTAAATTAATCCAGTAGTTTGTTTAAACATTAACAAAACATTTTTTTGCAAAATATCAACATCTTTTCTAATTTTTTGTAATGGAACATTATAGGAATGATTACATATCATTTTTTAATAAATCAATATTGCAATTAACTAAGTATTTTGTTTAAACTTTTACCTAAAAAAAAAATTCTAAATTATCAACATTTTGACGGGAAGTGATAGATATAGGTTAAATTTTTTTCTTATTAGTAAATTAACATTTAAATAATTGAATAATTTGTTTAAACTTTAAAATATTTTAAAATATCAATATTTAAACTTTTTGCAGGAAGTCATAGGAAGAATTAATTTACATTTTAATATAAGCTTTATTAGTGTAAACAAAGCATTTTTATTTTCTTTATTTATATAATATAATTCTTACTTTCACATATTCCATTTATAAATATCTTACATACTTATAAAATAAAAAAGGTAAATTATTGAGATCGCCTACATATAAGTATAACAATATTTTATTTAGATTCAAACAAAAAAAAATTCTAATATAATTTATAATGTGCTGTATTAATGTATATTATATTCATACAATTACTATGGTATAAAAAAATTTGGTGGGCTGTAATACACGACCTATCTCAATGCATGCGCAGGCAGGCATATACAAAATATGCGAAGAAAATAATTTAACGAGGTAATAAATATAAAGTTTTATCACTGTAACGAATTAAATTATTGTTTTTAATAAAGTTATTAATTTCCCACTATTATTAAATGTAATCAGCAAATATTAATTAGTATTTTATTCAAGAATAAATGTACTTCCGTGATGTTTCAACTTTTCAAATTTTGTCCATCGACTAGTAAACACATTTGGACACGCTTGAATCAGTTTTGAAGAACCTTGAAATTATTGACAGAGGTTATAACAAAACATATTCGATACATCGTCAACAATTTTGACATTCATATATTTTTTTTATATTTCATAAAATTATCAGTTCTTTCTTTTTTTTTCAGTAACTACACCTTCACCACCTCCTCGACCTTGGATTCCGTTGGCCAGGCCCTCTACAAATAGGCCCACATGTAAGTTGTATCCTGAATAAAGTATAATAATTTTTTTAACTGCTCATCGACAGGTATCGTCCAGCAAAGACTGAAATCAATTTTCTCTGACTTCAAACTTGTGACGCGTTATAAATAATAAAAATCGTTGTATATATACAGGGTGTTTTAGAAAATAGTGTGGGAAACATGACGCAGGTGTAAAATATTTCATATTTAAATTTTCGATATTTTGGTGGATGCGCCAGTGACAATTTAAAAAAATCCTATTTTCTGATATCTAAAAATTGTCTCTAATTAAATGTCATAAAAACGAAATGTTACGATATTTGTAAAATTATTGAAATATCTCTAATTATGCAATTTTTACCATGTTTCCGACCAATATTTTCACTTCGATAAATTTATTTTTATCAAAATCCAATAATTAGGTACGACCATCCAGAATAATTGATTGGCAAAGTCAAAAATGACATTTTTGTTTTGATCGACGATAACTGAGCGACAAATCATCGTACAGAGCTCCGGAACCGCTTAAATTGAAGGGAAATTATCTAAAAGAGCGTTATGGTGAAATTACCAAGTAAACTTATACTCCAGTCGAACTAGAGTTTGAACGTGAAAAAATTGTTAGTAAAGTAAACATTTTATTGCCTTTTATGACGGGGGAGGGTATGTAAAGTGATAATACCAAAAAAGTAACTCGAAAGAAGTGACGCTAAGTTGGCATATTGCGAATAAGTGGTAACAATTAACGTTTTAAAAGGGAACAAAGGGGCGTAGACGCTTTTTCTATTTTTAAATTACCGTAAAAATAAGCTCTATTTAATGCAAAAAGAGTGAATCACTGAGCGGCTTTTGCCTGACCCTTGGATAATTTGTTTTAACGCTATTTTATACTTTGTTAGTTGTAAAGGGTAACTTAATTTTAACTTTTTGAAATTTTTCTTTTTCGATACGTTCGTTCTTTGGATCAATTAGAACCTAAATCTACGATAATAACATCTAAAATTAACGTTTGTAATTAAACAGTTGGTTGCTAAAAAACGAACGAAATTAATTAACTAATCTGGAACAATTTCGATCGAATTGGCCTTTGGCACACATGGTTGGTCTTTGGATTGACCGTCTTTTCCATAAATTTCATCCAACACCCATCGCTTTTTGCAATAATAATTCCGAAAACTGATTTTTCCTTGCTCGACCTTTATTTTTACAGTTAACAAATCGGTGAAACATGACTTTAGATACATACCTTAAGTTTCTTTTTTGACATTATCGTTCTACATACCCTTCCCCATCATAAAGTGCAGTACTAATGTCTACTAATAATGTTTTCAAGTGTTCAGGTTTTACGATCTAATTCGATTGGAGTATATTATTTGAAGTCTATAGACCCTTTTAAAGATAAGCAAACATTTGGAATTTTTTTTATTGGTTTTCTTATGATTACTCAAAAACCGCTGACGCTAAAAAATTTTAAACTCCATTTCCTCTTTGAAAATCACCCGAAAATTTGAGATTTTTTTAATATCCCTTAATTCTTGTGATTAGTGTATAAAGACGATTTCATTTAAATTTCGATGATGGCATAGCTTCTGCATGTGTCACCCTGTGGTCTTATTGAAAATACAAATCAAGTGAAAAACTCTGTATCGAACTTAACGCTTTACTTCGTTATTTTACATTTAGTACAGTCATTGAAAAGCTGAAAATCAGCTTTAACCTCCGAATTCTTTGAAACTGCATGGATTTGCATGAAAATTTAGAATAAGGCTCATCTTAGGCTCAAGTTCAAAAGTGACATAAGCCCGATTGACGCTTTTTGTTTTTTAGGGGTAAAAACTACCTCTAAGTGAAAAAAATTGAAAAAATTAAGTTTTAAGCATTTTATTGAGAAAAATCTTGTTCAAGCACAAAGATTAAATAATGTTTCATGGTCTCGAACATGTTTTATGATATATTTGATCTTTTCTACCTTTAACCCTTAAAAATTACCCCTATGCAAAAAATGATAAAAAATTACTTTTTAAAGATTTGGAATGATTAAATCGTGCAATTATTTAAAATAAAAATTTCCTCATTGCTTATGACAGAATTTGTTTCTCATACCAGTTTTCAACCCTTATAAATCACCCCTGTGCTAAAAAAATGATAAAAATTACGTTTTAAATCTTGGAATGCTATAATTGTGCAATAATTTAAAATAAAAATTTCCTTATATTGTTTATAAAAGAATATTTTACTTTTGCCATTTTCAACTCTTATAGTTACTACCCTTTTACCAATATGAATGTAAAATATTTTTATTATAACCGATTTTTTAAATATAATCATCATAAAAGAAATTGCTACGCTGCATATAAATAAAAATTTCCTTATATTGTTTATAAAAGAATATTTTACTTTTGCCATTTTCAACTCTTATAGTTACTACCCTTTTACCAATATGAATGTAAAATATTTTTATTATAACCGATTTTTTAAATATAATCATCATAAAAGAAATTGCTACGCTGCATATAAATAAACACACTAAATTTTTTTACTTATTTTATTTGTATAATATAATTAATATATAAAAATGAGAAAGCCTATTTTACTCCGAAAAAATGTCATTCATTTTTTTACCATAACTCGGTTAATTTTGAAGCTATAGTATCCTACAAAAAAGCATTTTAAAGATAATTTCAAGAGCTGTAAGATCGTAAGCATATAAAACCTTATAAGCCCTTCGTCTTTTAAAGGGAAAGGATCGAAGGGCTCGAGACAGGTCGTTTTTTCACTAAAATGAATACTTCAAGCGGCGATGTCTCCTTTATTTTTTATGCTATAGGATTAAAAAAAGCAAAATATTTGCTGAAAAAAAAGCTACATTTTTGTTATCTATCATTTTTTACGTATCTTTCATAGTTTTAGAATTATTATATAAATATAAGGCATTTTTTTTGAATAATGAAAAATGCGTTTTCAACTTTTACCGTACATTATTTAAAAAAAAAATACGTATTCTAAACCGGTCTAACTTCAGGATCGTATAAAAATCACTAACACAAATCTAATTGTTAAGGGTCTACGATTAATTTTAATTCTGATGGAAATGGTACAGCGTTTACAACTCATTTTTCCTCAAAAAATATGAGCAACCCATCTGTTTTTGACGATAACTCCTTCAATTTTGCTCTAATTAACTTTGATAAGTGCTCATTTTGAAGGTCTTTTTGAGTAATACAAAAAACTCCAGGAGCGTTATACACGTAAAATTAATCTTTTTTCCGAAATTTGACGTTTAATACATCGATTCGAGTATTCCCCCCAAAACAAATCCCCTTCCAGTAACCATAGTTGGCTTTGTATAGGACGTACAACACTTTTTAAAAAACGATTTTCTTTGTTTATTTATAAGCTACATTTTTGTTCATTACACTTTTTTTAATAAAATGCGTAGTTTTTGAGTTATTCACGAAAAATACCTTGAAAAAGTGTTGTTTTTTTTTTTCACTCAAAATTCCAAGTTTTCAATCGTGAATAACTAAAAAAGTATTGATTTCTCGAAAAAATTCTTCGAATATTTTTTGCTCAAGGTTTGGTTCTCTATCCAGCATTATTTTTGAAAAAATTTTCACCCCCAACAGGGGGTCAATCGGCGCTATGTCACTAATGTTCATTGGCCTTTTCTCTAACTATGTGCCAAATTTCAAGTCGATCGGTTCAGTTTGAAAGAATTCGGAGGTGAGAAGCTTCAATGACTGTACTAATTGTATTTGTTACCGCCGTTTTTCAGGTATCTTCACTGTGATGTGTTATAACGTTCTTTGTGATAAACTGGCGACGCGACAAATGTACAGTTACTGCCCCAGCTGGGCCCTGAACTGGGAATACAGGAAGAAGGGCATCCTGGAGGAGATAAAGCACTACGGCGCCGACATCATAAATCTCCAGGAGGTTGAAATGGAGCAATTCTACAATTACTTCCTGCCGGAATTGAAGATGGACGGTTACAACGGCATATACTCGCCCAAGTCCAGGGCGAAACACATGGCGGAGAGCGAACGGAAGTACGTCGACGGCTGCGCTATATTCTACAGGACGTCGAAGTGAGTAGAGCCATTACCACCTAAACAAAACATACGGGGTGCGGCATTAGTGCGTCGAAGTACGATATCTCCGTTATTATAGAAGATATTAAAAAAAGTTTCTTACAAAAATTGTAGCCAACTTAAAACATTTTAAATATATTTTCGTATGTACCGGGTGTTACGTATTACCAGGGTGAACCAAACATACTATTTTTTAAATGGGACACCTTATATATTACTTCAAATTTAGATTAAGCTCATCTCTCCCATGCTTCCAATATAGGGTTTAATTATATTATACAGTGTTTTCAAAAGTTATGGTCAATTGTATACGAGAATCAATACCATTTCAGCGTCCTGTATACCCTAGACAGAACAACTTAACAATAATTTTTTGGAGGCATAACTTTTTGATATTGGTACAGTTTTACGAGAAAGTGCTATTTCTTTATTATTGCAACAGTTTAGTATAGGGCGAGCCAAAACTTGAGCACGTAATTTTCTCAACTTTTTTAAATGAATCACCCTGTATTTTATTTTAAAAACTGAAAACACACTTTATGTTCTTTCATTTTTATATAAAAATAACCTATTGCTAAAATCATTAATTTCTGAGATATTTACCATTTAATAACAAGAAGAGAGTTTTTAAAAAATTCATATTATAACAAGTTGGTTAATATTATAAGAATTTCGTCTTAACAACGGATATTTTGTAATGTTTTCTAACAATTTGTCACACTGTCATTTGCCCATAGCCACCTTGTTATAATAGGAATTTTTTAAAAACTCTCATCTTGTTATTAAATGGTAAATATCTCAGAAATTAATGATTTTAGCTATATGGAAAATAAAATACAGGGTGAGTTTTATAAAATGGAAAATGAAAACGTTTTTCCCTTTTTCAATTCCATTCCCATTTAAACGAAATTGCCATTTTACTTAAAATGAAGTTTAATTTGATTCAGCCTACAAAACTATATTACTCATTTTTTTTTGTTCAGACTAAAGCCATGACAGGGTAGATCGAGTATCTTCAAATTTAAAATATGATAATAAATTTTTAATAAGATGTTTTAATATTTTATATGAAAAAGGGACTGTGCACACACGGAAAAATGTTTTGCTGTGTAAGACCTACTTAATTATTGAAAATATGCTACAAATTACTATTTACTGTTTGTGATTGTTTTCCAAAATATCATCACTCAAAATTCGTTCCTCGTTGATGTCTACAGTTAAGATGATCTGGGTACACTCTGTACATATTAAATGAAATAGAGAAGTGATATATTATAACATTATAAAGATAAAATCAGCTACTACAGTTCTGGATAGAAATTATTTTATTTGTTAGAAAGCACCTTGTATTTAAATACAAGAATTTTTTTAACAAGATTGATTTCTTTATAAAATGGAAAATGAAAATGTTTTCCCTTTTTTCAATTCCATTCCCATTTAAACGGAATTGCCATTTTACTTATGTAAAATGAAGGTAGGCTGAATCAAAGCCTACAAAACTATTACTCATTTTGTTTTTTTTTTGTACAGACTAAAGCCTCAAAATTGCTACTTGGGAAAATATTTAAGTGAATGAAACAAATGAAAATGTTAAAAAATAATTTTTATGAAAATTGTTTTTCTCTATTATTATTTATTATATCATTTCTTTCGCCATAATAAGATATGACAACATATGTTATTGCGATAATTTTTTAATTAAATATATAAAAAACAGTCTAGATACTATATGTATTTTAACTCTCTCGGTTTCAAGAATACAATACCTATATATGTTTTCAGCCACGCAAATTGAATAATTTAAAATATTTCGCATTTTCACCACCAAGAACGACGGTGACAGCATTTTTAACATTAAGGCGATATTTCGCATTGTATTAGCTATGTCCTGTCAAAATTTTGTTGGAGAAGGTAGTTTAATTTAAAAAATATCTTTACTATTTTTTTATAAAATCCGCTTTAATAATGTATATGTTCTTGAACATCTCTTGGGAAACCAAAAAATGAAAATTATGTCAATTATTCAGCAATTGTATAAAAAATATTTCATATAAAATCTTAACAACATTATTAATTTTGAAACAATTGCTAAATTTATCAAATTAAGCCAACAATTTCATTTACAATTGTAAATTGACATAAATAACGAGCGTTCAAATAAAAACGTGGTCGAAGTTGGCTCTGACACATTGGACGTAGGGAGTAGCTTATAGCGACCAACTTAACCTCATTTCTCAACGAGCTGTATAGCAGCTGTCAGTTTCAATAACGTTAATGACTATATAACTTTATTTTAAAGAATAATCGTGATAACAATAACAAACAATTAAAGGAGCTGCGGAAAGTGTCCCCCTCCTTGTTATAACAATAAATTAAAGCAGCTGCTGAAAGTGTCCCCCTCCTTGTTCCAAGCACTTTTCACACCTGTTCCTCAAAGAATTAAAGACATTTTCTAAGATGCTCGGGGTATTGTTAATTTCACGAATCTTGTCTATAAGTCGAGCCTGCAGATGGTTTAAATCAGGAATAGGCAGTTCAAAAATAGTATTTTTAAGGTAAGGCCACAAAAAGAAATCACACGGCGTAATATCACATGACCTCGGTGGAAATTCATGTTCAGCATTGAGACTTATTAGTCGATTTTGGAAAACTTCCCTCAACATATTCATCGTCTCGCCTGCCGTATGTGCCCTTGCGCCATCTTGTTGAAAGTAAAAGTTTGTAATTTCGTTTTCTTCCAGCTGGTTAACAAAAGGAGCGATAATTTCTTCTCTATACCTTTGCGCAGTAAGAGTACCATTAAAAAAAATAGGTCCATAAATCCTCCTTCGATTGAGAGCACACCAAACTCCAATTTTTTGAGCGTGTAGAGGGCCCTCGACAAAAAAGTTATCTGGTTTTTCAGAAGACCACATTCTCATATTCTGTGAGTTTACGTAACCACTTAAATGAAACCAGGCTTCATCAGAAAAAAAGGTGATATTATGAAGTTCACCGTAGTTGTTTAAAAACCATTCACAAAATACAGCCCGTCGCGGAAAATCAACTTCATGAAGTTCTTGCTGACAAGTTAAAAGATAGGAGAACAAACGCAAATCTTTTTTTAATACTGTGTGGCAGGTACCGACTGATACTCCCACCATTATTTGTGATAAAACACGTACAGAAGTTCTTGGCGCATTTTCCATTATTTGTAGGACATTCTCTTTTAATTCTTCAGTCCGCTTTTTATGTCGGCCGCTTCCTTCTTTTCTTGTTACACTACCCGTTTCACAAAAAACATTAACACAACGCTGAACTGCACTTTGAAAAATTTTGTACTCAACAACGCCGGGAAATTGATTTTGAAATTCTATGAAACATTCCTCAATAGAATACTTCCATAATCCATCAATCTTGCGTCCATTTCTAAAGTAGGACTCTATGATAAACACTTTTTGTTCTTGAGAAAACACCATTTTAAACGCTTTTTAAAACAAAAATATTCAAATTGATAGCGGCGATATAGCGCTTTGACAGATGACGTTTAAGTTCATTCGCTATACGCTACGCCCTACGTCCAAATTTTCAGAACCAGCTTGACCACGTTTTTATTTGAACGCTCGTTATAATACTAATTACATAATTTTGTACATTAGAACCGTTTATCTAGGATTTATAAAGAGAATTATACAATTTGTGATTTGTGATTTCGATACTCACAAACAATTTCTAGTTTATGATTCTTCGATAAAGATATTTGCATTGGCGTTTTATTGGAATTAAATTTGATACATTGTAAATTTCTTACCCTTATTTTTGCATTGTTTTTTTCCCTCAGGTTTACCTTAGTAAAGGAACACTTAGTTGAATTCAATCAGTTGGCGATGGCGAACGCAGACGGCTTAGAACACATGTTGAACAGGGTAATGCCAAAGGACAACATTGGGCTAGCTGCCCTTTTGCAAACCACTGATGCGGCCTGGGACAACAGTGAGTTGCCAATAGCCATTTTTAAATCGCCTCCTTAAATTTTAATCAAATTGTTTTAATTTTAATTTTAGTTTTACATTTTTTTTACATAAAGGTTACTGTTATCCCGACTTAATTGATTAATATATATTTTTTTTTCAGCTCCGCCAGACGCCCCCTTCATCCACCAGCCCCTCCTCGTCTGTACAGCGCATATCCATTGGGATCCCGAATTCTGTGATGTTAAGCTAATCCAAACCATGATGCTATCCAACGAGCTCAAATCGATTCTCGAACAGTCCGCGGAGACCCTGAAGGCGCACAACCTCCACCTGGACCCGAGCAACATCCAGCTGGTGCTCTGCGGCGACTTCAACTCCCTGCCCGACTCGGGCGTGATCGAGTTCCTCGGCACCGGGCGGGTGTCGCAGGACCACAAAGACTTCAAAGCATTTAGCTACAAGTCCTGCCTGGAGAAGATCTTGAGCTGTGATAAACCAAATGAATTTACACATTCCTTCAAGCTCGCGTCCGCATACAATGACGAAATTATGCCGTTCACCAACTACACGTAAGGAACTTGTTGGAAATTTGGCGCCCAACGTGGGGCATTCGAGATTTTGTATGTTTTGTTTTTTTTTCAGATTTGACTTTAAGGGTATCATCGACTACATCTTCTACGCAAAGCAAACAATGACTCCGCTGGGCTTGTTGGGTCCCCTGTCGCAGGAATGGCTGCAGCAGAACAAAGTGATAGGCTGCCCGCATCCGCACGTCTACTCCGACCACTTTCCTCTGCTAGTTGAACTGGAAATGGTGCCTACGATAACCGCAGCAATGAATGGAGTTGTAACTCTCAGGTGAGCCGAAAAAAAAAATGATTAAATCGCCTTCGAATGAAATACTTATGTTAAAAATTCAGTGCCGAAATAGTAGGCAGTGAGTCATTCTCGACATGCAGAAACGCGCGGCGGGCGAAGCGCGCGGGGATCGCGATTCCATGGGCGTATCAGTTTAGAGGTTTTCAAAAATCGTTAAATGTAGAACAACAAATAAATCTGTCGATTTCGGTAAAAACTAGATTATCCTTACAATTTTACACTTATGTCTCTACAGTTACTGGATTAATCGCAGATTAGTTCAATGGGATTCAGCTCATAGTGGTGTGGTGGTCATCAAAATAGTGGAATTGCTAATAATTGGGCCATTCCACGCCAAATCGACCACATTTAAAGGGGTGAGGGCCTTTCGATTTGGCTTTTATTGTTTTCTACCCCATTGAAAACCTCTGAGGATTTTTTCAAATTTTTTCACCCAACTCAAAAATGAATTATGAATTTTTGAAAAAATAGTTTATTTTTAAATAAACAACTTTTTTAAAAATTGAAATATCTGGACGTTTTTTTTTTCAAAACTTGTTTTTAAATGTACTTTTTCAAAAAAGAATAGAATTTTCATTGTTTTTTTTTTCAATTTTCGAAAATAAAACTGACAATTTTTATAAATCCTCAAATTTTTTCAGTGGTGTTTCTTCGTTTTCTATTTTTTTTTATTGATTGTAAAATTTTTTTTTATCAAATTTAGCTTATTTCACATACCATTTTGAAAATTTTTGAAAATGTATATAGAATCCCAAAATTGAAAAAAAATATATGAAAGAAATAATTGAGTGGTAAACATAAAAAAAATTTCTTATTTTTTTTGGAAAAGTTAAGAAAAAAATAGATCGTTTTGAATAATTTTCGAAAATATATTTAAAGCCAAAAATTTTGAAAAAAAAACGTCCTGATAACACAATTTTTGAAAAAGTTATGGTTATTTTAAAAAAAGCTATTTTTTCAAAAATCCAAAAACAAAGAAAATGAAAAAAAAAGTTATTTGGTCCATCTTTGGACGAACAACAGTGGGTGTTAAAAAAGACATGCAACGCACTTGAACTCAAATAAATCATTTTGAAACCATCCTCTTGATTTTTTGAAATCAATCGCTGCATAGAATAAATTTTTCAATTTTGGGATTCTATATACATTTTCAAAATGGTGTGAAATAAACTAAATTTGAAAAAAAAATTTTTCAATCAATAAAAAAATATAGAAAACGAAAAAACCTGAAAAAATTTATAAAAAAAAAATTTCAAAAATGGTAATCATCAAGAAATTTTCGTTTTTTTTTCGAAAATTGAAAAGAAAGTGAAGGTAGGTCCAGATAATTTTGATCTATTTTTTTCCAAAATAAATTTAAAGCCAAAAATTTAAAAAAAAAAACGTCCTGATAACTCAATTTTTGAAAAAGTTATGGTTATTTTAAAAAAAAGCTATGTTTTCAAAAATTCATAACTTTTTTGAGTTGGGTGAAAAAATTTGAAAAAATTCTCAGAAAAGTTTTCAAAGGGGTAGAAAACAATAAAAAAGTTTCAGCCAAATCGAAAGGGGTCAGGATCAAAAGTGGTCGATTTGGCGTGGAATGCCCCCATTACACTCAATATTTTTGTTCCATTGAACCATTCCATGATTTCCTCCTTTTCTCCATGCAGATGTCGACAATATTACTAGGTAAAATACAGGGTGTAAGAAGTTTGACTGCTATTACTTCAGCATGAGATAGAGTAATCATAAATAAACAAAAAAAGTTGTATATTACAAGGGCGTAAGATTAACAGTTTTCAAAATACAGCGAGTATTAATATTGGGGAGTCCACCACCATTTTCGATGCACGCGTGACACCTTCGAATCCAACTTTCGTGCACTCGCTGGAAAACACCACAAGAAAAGGAAATAGTGTTAAACGCAAAAACACTCAGACACAGTCCAATTCCAGATACTAACTGAAATGCGCATTGCTGGCAGTCAAACTTCTAACACCGTGTATTTGTATTAGTCGACTATGATCTTTATCACATTACATTCTTGATATATTGTATCAGTCATTTCTGACAATCCTGATTATCAGATCAGATAACACCTACAACGATTCCATTTTTAACACTAAAATGTTACAAGTCAGAGACTAGGGTTCCAATAAGTCAAATCAATAAAACCAACCAATGTTGGTTGTCTCTCTTTTTATACTCGAAAAGTGTGTGTAAGCAGGCTAAATGTTTTTTCGGAACACTATGCGAAATGAACCGCACATTACAACTTCCATTCGGAGAATACACAAAATAATTTTATCGGATTAAGAGGTTGTAAAAACTGTGATTTGATTTATTTGTGAGTTTACTGGTTACTATTTTGGCACTAAAATATAGTTCATTATAAATAAAATAAATATACTTAGTCAATTTTTAAGGATGTTTTTAAGCTTTTGCAGTTCTTATACGAAAATTGGAGTGTATCACCAAATTAAACGTTTTGTGATGTAAATTTGGCATGTTATTTTGTTTTTCAGCCCACAAAAGTTAGTTCATTATGGGTATTACGGTCAGTACGTTTCGCAACCGTACGGACCTGTTTATTACTATCCCAGTTACATTTGACATACGATAGGCCAAATTTTCGAAATTCCACCTAGATCTCGCATTAAAGTGTGTATACTTAGCAGGTTTGTATGATGTGTACGGTCGTATGGGTGTAAATCGTTCGGAACGGTGGACATTCGGAATTTTTTTTTGTTTCTTATAAAAAATGTTTAGTTCAAAGTTTATTTATTAACACTATTTACTGGGCGTTTGTGCGTTTTTTAACACTCATTTTTTTAAATATGTTTATGTTGAAAATGGATAAATTAAAATTAATTTTTGTGGGATTAGAGCGATATTATAATCAGAACAGTATGCAATGAAGGACAATTTTCCAAGGAAAATTTTCAAAATGTGGCTGACAACGAAAGAAAGGATGAGAAATCAAAAATTTCTAAAAAAAAACGTGGCCCTCGATTGCGCTGCTCTGATTATTCTATTTCGATATTGTATGTGTGATCTCTTTAATGTATACAGGGTGTCCGGGAAAATGTGGGAAATCTCTTGGGTGCGATAGAACATGAAAAAATAAGTTCCTATAAAATGAACCATGATTTCAATTTTTTTTTCTCGACAACTAAGTGCGATACGAAAGTTATTCAAACAACAGGACAGTTTCATTTCAAGATGTTTAATCCGAAAAAATACAAAATTTAAAAAAACGCAGTGGTGTCCCAGGAGGCGCCTTAACGAAATTATTGAAAAACTTCATAAGGGGGTTTGACAAGGGCTCCGTGAAGTCTGATACACTTGCGGGCACGACCAATCGGGGACTGCTGTACCCGCCACAATAACCCAGCATTGTTCTTTATCACATCACAATGAAACGGGATTCTCTGTAGAAGTTCCTCCTTAGTGTCGAATTGTTTGGTAGACCGATCAAAATATCTCATTTAGAGGGCAAAAAAAAAAAGAAAATTGTTACCTCGACTTTTATTAGTTGAAATGGTAAAGAGGCTTATAATAAACGAAAAAAAAATTAATGCGTGAGCGGGGGTGGCGGAGGGTTGATTTGGGGGGTTGAAAAGTTGTGAAAAATTGTATCATTGGGATTTCTAGCAAAAATTGATGGCAAACTAAAAAGTATCCAATATGATAGTTGTAGATCATGCAAAAATCTACAAATTTTATAGAGATCACTTTTTAAGATAACCTCAAAATTTCCGAGAAAAATGTGAAAAACAGTTTTTTTCTGATTTTTCGTTTTTTATTTCTCATTTCCGCAAAAATAATTTAATTTTGACGAAACTTGGTGAAAATATACCTTTCTGTGTCTTAAATAACCACAAATAGTTTTAGATAAAAAAAATCAAGAAGTTTCCGAGATGTTAATTTTTTCCGGGGGCTAAAACACTTTTTTTTCAAAGAATAATTCTACTTAGAAAAATGATCGTAGCATTCTGTCGGTGATCATTTTTTTCGTTTTGAATTACTATTTGATGAAATAAAAAATCTGTTATCACAGTTCAAAAACATGCTCAATAATGCAAAAAAAAATTAAAATGACTTGCAACAATGAATTTTTTAGTAATTGTTGATAATTTGTTAAAAAGTGATTACACCATTCAATGCTACAGAAAAAAATACAAAAAAAAAAAACTGGAAAAAAAAGTCGAACGTACTTTCGATTGCTTCGAGCAACTTTCAGTCATTTTTAGCATATATCCCATCACTTGCAAAAATCCCAGATATAAAAATTTCAGATGCCATGTTCAGAATTTAAATCGGACCATTTTTATTAAATCACCACGCTGTGCAAAAAAAAGTTCCGAATTTGTTTATAATGCAATTGTGCAAAAACTATGCATCGGGTCATCTTGCGCACGATTAAACTACAGATTATTATCTGTCATTTCCCGCAAGATTGTTTTTCCAGCTTGAAATTTGACGGTTATGAATTTTTGAAGAAAGATCTATTTTAGAGGATTTTCCGGATTTTCTCTGTAAAAAAATGAACCGATACGCACAAAAAAAACATTTTATAGGTTTTTTTATTCTCTACAAAAGTCCTATTGAAAGTAAGACGATTCCATCATTATTTTTCGAGATTTTATAGAAAAACCAAAAAAATTTCAATTTTTGCAGTTTTTATTGTTTAAAAAAAAAATTGTTCACGACATCTGGGGAATGACTTGGGTTTTCATTTACTATTTTTTAAATGGTAATACATGAAACTTGCTGTAATGTTTAAGTGTGTCAAAAAATCTCTGTTGGTTGGCCTAAAAGTTCTGTCAGATAAATGATGATTTTATTTAGAATTGGGAATGTTTTGGGTTGCATATTTTTGACGATCTGCAACTAACGAATGCTGTTTTCTTTTCGCAGGTAGCAACACGCAGAGCATAGAACATAGCCATTGTCGCCTTCGCATTTGCTGTACCTGTATATCAGAAGACACAAGGTCGTCAAGCCACAGACAACTTCGTTTCGGAAAAAATGTTTCGGAAGTAGTACCTGACGGCATCGTCCTATAAACCAAAAATAAAGCAAACCCATACATTTCTTGAATAAGTTCAAATCTACCTTTTTACTAAAGATAGAGTTTTTGTGGTGGCGTCTCACATCCGACCGGAAATCAAAAACAAACGCGCACACGCTCGCCGGTCGCGATCCCGCGCGACGCGCCGTCATTTATTTTTTGTATTCATTGTAATTGAGATTGCTGTGATTTTCGCGTTATTTTTTATTTTTCTTGCGCGCGCGACGCGCGGGATCGCCTCCAGGCCCGTTCATTGGCTTCTTACTTTTTTTTTCCGTTTTATTTGGGAGGTTATACACCGCACGTTAGATATTACACGCGTTACTATCATTTTTACTGGATTGTAATATAAAAATTTATATTTTGTAAATAACGTTTGACGCGGGAATCGACATAGATCGAGGTATATTTCACGGTGGTGGGACCGCACGTGAGAAATCTGCGCGCATTTTAAACAAATATACTTCAAAAGTCTGAGGATCATGTAAATTTTTCGTCTAAATAGTAAGTATAATATATAACGTTACGACAGTATGTATTTAATTTTATGTAGAGTACTGAGAAGTACACTTTTTACCTTTTGTGTCCGTTTTTTATCTGGTGACGAGACGTCGGCGGCCTCGACCGGGCGCGGTTTCCGTTTACTGTAATTTTATGTTGTTTTCAGTGTTTCCCCCTCTTCCTTCAAGTGATAATTTTTGTGATCGGGGAACCCTGGCCGGTCGCGGCCGTCGGGCGTTCGATTTATTTATTATGTACGCGTTAATTTTTAGTAGGGCGCATCGATGTTGATACATTTTTTTTTTGTTGTGATCCGTTACGTGCTTGCTTTTTCTCAATACACGGAAACAATAATGAATAGGAAAAAAAAACGCTTTTCGAGAACTGTTTCTAAAAAATGTACTATATTATTTTTATACAACAAGAAATTCTCTTTTCAAAATAAAATACAAAAAAATAAACAATTTTTTACCTTTTAAGATAAATAGTGAGTGCTAGGAGAAATCCGCGGCCGTGTTATCGTATCCGGTAGTTATCTTAATAATATGCAATATTATACACAGAGGTACAAATAGGGATAAATGGGAGTAGACGAGGCAATTTTTAGTGCAATAACTGCGGAACCTTTTTTTTTATCAAATTGTAAATAGGCGATCTTTTATTTTTTTAATTTTTCGAACTTAGCATCTTTTAATCGACTGACGGCGACTTAGCAATGACTGATGCGGTGTGTTCAGGGATACGACAAATGCAGGTTAAATCCGAGGTCAAACGATTTTTAGTATTTAGCAGAAGCATAAAAAAAATGAGAACTTTTCGGAAAAATATTTCGATGTTTCCTTTGTACGGAGTGGACCAAATTCGACATTTTTGAGAGAGGTTTCTCCTATTTCCCGAAAAGATACGAAAAAAGTAATTTGAATGTCACCGGCTCGATTTTTGGGGAACGTTGATTTGCGAAAACCGCACCTCGATATCTTGATTTGTTTCAGAGATACAGGGCGTTTCCCAATTTTGGTTGGTTTTGTATTAGATTTTTACGAAGAGGTTTTTTTCCACAGTTTTGTTTGCAAAATCCGGCGGCGTACGCGATGCTTTCCACTAATTGAATTTTTTTGTAATTGAAAATGAATATTTTACGATTTTTTAAGCATAAAGTTTCCTTTCAAATGATTTTTGACATTTTTGTCATCACTTGAAAGGGAATTTTATGCAGATTTGAAATTTTAATAAAACTATAAAAATATGTGAAAAATGAGTAAAATATCGCAAAAAACTAAAAAACCTCTAAAAAAACCTAATATTTCTATGGAAAAAAAAGTCACTGAGCATCGAAGAAAACGGCCAAAATAGGAAAATGCATTGTATTGGAAATTCCTCTTTTTTCAAAAATCTTGGTATTTAAAATATTTATTTTCTGTCACGTCGAGAGACGGGAGAACCCCCGCAAATTTGTCTAATTTGGCTCACCCTGTACAGTGTGTTTCATTTCGATCATCACCGTCTTCATATTTTGAAACCGATGGGTTGATTTTCATACACATTTCTTTGTTTCTAACCTGTCTTCATGGCGTACTGTGTTGAAAAACTTCCATAAAAATTAGAATATCGGATTAGGCATAATTTCTTTCAGATGGACACACGCAATACATTTTTATAGATTTTATTACGCAATTTGTCTAAATATGAATCAATGCACAAATAACAGACTTTCCTCCGTTCTATCGCAGGTTTTCTATAAAATGTAGTTAGTTTGAAACTTAAATTACTTTTTGGTGTAAGGAAATTTGTAATTTGCTGCTTTCGAATAAGTAACTTACAAATTTCTATATACCAAGAAGTAATTTAAGTTTCAAATCAAGTCCATTTTATAGAAAATCTGCGTCAAAATGGAGGAAAGTCTGTTATTTGTGCATTTGTCTAAATATGAATTAATGCTCAAATAACAGACTTTCCTCCATTCTAATGCATAGTTTCTATAAAATGGAGTTGATTTGAAACTCAAATTACTTTTTGTTGTAAAGAAATTTGTAATTTGCCGCTTTTGAATAAGTAAATTACAAATTTCTTTACACCAAAAAGTTGTGCGAGTTTAAAACTAACTCCATTTTATAGAAAATATGTGTTAGAATGGAGGAAAGTCTGTTGTTTGTGCATTAATCCATATTTAGACAAACTGTGTAATAAAATCTATAAAAATGTATTGCTGGTCGCCTATTTACTATAGAGCTCTTTTAACTTCCTTAAAAAAAGTATTACAAATAGAAAGAAAATAAAAAAAGACTGAATATTACGTAAAAAAAATTACTGTGTCAAATAAAGAAAAATTATCACATAATTTTTAACGAAATAATTTGTTTAACGTATTTGTCAATATTTTTGCCTCATAATTATTGATTGTTCGTGTTTGTCACCACAACAGTGCCTTTGCGCGCTGCGTCTAAAACTTTGAATTTCTGTAATTGACCCAATCTTTTGATCTATCTGTATAAATTCTACCGTTTGTTACAAACTCTAACCCGAAAATGTCTCATTATGACGAATATTGCAATTTTCAAAATTGTACATACTAAAATGAACACCCTTTATGATCGATCTAAATGTAATTTTTATACCAAGTGGAGGTAGGAGCAATTTGTTAAATCAGATTGTAAATTTTTGGCGTAATTTTTTGAACACAGCAAGCCATGGAATTAGGGGAGAAACGAAATTTAGGATGAGGTCGATCTCATCGAGCAGTCCTTGCCGAAAAAAAAATGAATATTCCTGAACACACTACGATTAATATGTCATTTTAACAAAATCAATTTGAAATAGCGTCCGGCCTATTAAAAGACGATCATTCTAGTCCTTATACACAAATTTTTGTATATAATTTTTAAACTCGTTTTATTTATACCAACTATTTATTGTTTTCCAAACGTACGTCTAGATTTTACAAAATTTTTCTCTTACCCGTTTTAAAAAGTCGTTTTTATCTCTTCTTCAATTTTTCAGTTGTCTAAAGAAAGCGCTAACGAAAATAAAACATCGCCTCGTAATTTGCTTAGACGAATGTACTTTCTTTGGTTTCTTTCATATGTTTACGCACGGCCATTAACTGTAATATTTTTAAATTGTCGTTAATAATTTTGTTTACAGAACATCGCGTTTCGACTGTTTCAACTTTCGTAGCTTTAATTCTCAAACGGCAACCTCAGTAAGAGCTTCAACCGATTTGTATCAGAAGAATTTTTTATGCTTGCGTCATACGACTCGACTTGGGTTGTTGTCCAGCCGAAAAATCGTTGTATGACTCCAGTGTATCGAAAATTCTTCTTTTTTTTTTCAGGAAATATTGTGTAACAGATTGAATCAAAAGTTATTTATTTTGTGGGTGTACGAATAGTTGAGTTTAAAGTCAATTCGATCTTCGCTTTTAGAGTGATTTATTTCCCTCCGATGGAATTAATTTCGTAGGCTTAATTGTAGTAGAGATAATTGTTTAGCTATTTTTCACTATACAAAGTCACGTTAAAATTAACCCGAGAGAGCGTTATTTTTTAATAATTAAACAAGTGGTTGAGCGACGGCAGACACAAGGAGGATTAATTTTAACTGCACTCTGTATATTGGTTTTGAAGGCCTAAAAAACCCTCCGCTTTTCGATGTCGAAATGAAGTGATTCACACCCCCCCCCTCCCCGTGCATGTGTTATTTCTGTAACAACGATTTGCATTGTAACCCTGTTTTTGGTTTATCACGTTAGGTACTTAATAAAATTTATGAAATTTCATAATTACATCATGATTTAACAGAGATCTCAAATTTTATACTATTAATTTTTAATGTTCTTCAGTAGTGCTTACGGTATTGGACAATGGTTTTTTTTTTTGTAATTTTAAGTTAATATTAGGTGTTCTTTAACAAATATTTATGTAAAATAGAATGAAATAAATGAAATTGGACCATTTGACGGTGGTAATCATTTTACCCTTGAGATTATTTCAAATAAATGGTACCGAACACTTTTTTTTAGTTTTATTTCCAACTGGAAACAATTTTAAAAATCCCGCCGTACCCTACATCCATAGAACAGAAACACATTCTCATTTTAATAGTTTTGACTGACTCAAGGTCACGACTCTATCCCTATAGAACTTGTTTATAAAAGAATTTACGTGACCACTCCCACTTGACCCAACAACCAATGAAGTGATATGTTGGGTTAGTAGTTCTAATTTTAAATATAAATTAGTTCGAATGTTATAATTTTACATACGCTGCCATCTATACTTTAGTAAATTATAGGGAATGACTTTAGAAGGTAGGTATCTGCAACGTGTCTGATTTCCCCGTTAAATTAATTGGGTTCTTCACCACTAGATGGCGCGAAAAAATTAATTTTAATTTAAGATCTTAAATTTTTATTAAAACCTAGGAAAATCTAAAAAAATTTTATATTAAACGATCCCAAAAATTGTTCTTAATCATTGAAGTTAATTCCTGTTTGGTTCTCAGAGTTATCAAGACCTTTCAATTTTCCTCACTTCGACAAAAACTATTCATATTAAGATTGACCAACGGGACGAGCTATCTGCGATTTGGCCCTTAATCGAAAATTTAATTTTTGATAAATTTCTGGAAATTACACTCTATCTCATACTTTTTCCAGATTTTCCAGTTTTTCTCTAAATCGAAAGTAGATACATAAAATAGTGAAATACCAATGATCCCAGGTTGTTCAGTGGGCCGAAATACCTGCGGATTTGCCTTTACATCAAAATTTAAATTTTTAAGAGTTTTCCGGAATTTTCATGGACTTTCCATCAATTTTTCTCAAAACACTTGACGTTCCAAAAAAATCCCTTAGACTATACCGACAATGGTAGTTTTAATCAGTGGCGGCTCGTGATATTGTGAACAGGTGAGACCCGTGGCTTATTTACTAGATAGTCAAGAAAAAAAAAGCGCCGGTCAAAAATTTTTAAATTTTTCAAGGTCAAACGACTAAATGCATCTGGAAATTCTTAGTTGCATTTACAAAAACTGATGTTCACGCGCAGGATTTTCATTCAAATTTTATAAAAAATTTAAATAACTATTTGGTTATTTTATTAATCCGCTCTCAATAAATAGACATAAATTTCCCTCATTTTTTATTACCGAGGTCTTCACTTAATAGCCAAATTATATTGTTATTATATTATTAATATCAGAACATTAAAAATTTTATTTATAATAAAATTAAGTAACAGAAAAAAAATTGATATACAGGGTGATTGAGAACTTATCCAAAAAAAAAAAATTCTGGATGTACAGGGGATCCTTACAAATACAATTTTGTAAAGAAAAAATCAAAAAGGGCAGTTCGAAAATGATTTTTTAAATCATTTTCGAACACTTCTACACGGCACTAGAAACTGGTCCACTGTAAATCCTGACCTAGCACAATGCGACCGGCATGGCGGTGTGATAAAAACGGACAAAAACTTTCGCAAGAAATATGTAAATAGAATTTTATCGCACCTATTGTATATCGGCAAATTCAACTGCTTTTGCCTTTATTAATTAATAAAATTAATTTGTGTTTTTAAATAATAAAATCATTTGACATAGCCGATGTTACAACGATTGTTCAATATTTTATCCACCAATGTTGTCTTGTTTCACCATAACACAAATGCTTCACCATAAATTAAAACGATATCCATCAACTCCGAGTACACGCAAACCATTTTTGACACAAACTACCCATTTTTGACACTAACTACTAAAAACCTGTTGTAAACGCCACAGATAGCAAGTAAATATTGCAACGATGATTGCAAAATCCGAATTCAGTATTCGGAGTCGCTGAGGCCACGTGGCGAATGACGCTAGAGACTACAGTTGTCCAGCTATGTAGTGGTTGAATGTACTATAACTTTTTTTTTTTTTCTCGGAAACTATAAGGATTTTACAAAATTTTTTTTACAATATTCATTCCATTTCTCATGCTGCATCTATTCCCAAATTTTTTTTGGATAAATTGTGAATCACCCTGTATTTACCTAATAATGAAAAAAATGTTCCTACTTGGTTTAAGAATATTAAAAAATTTGAAAAAATATGAAAACAAATTTTCATAGCCAGCCAACTTATACATACAGTGTGTCCACAGACTGAGTGCACATGGGGTGTAAATGACAAAAATTTTTCAAGTTGAAATTTTAGCTTCTGGGCCTTAAACTAGGAAATTGAAAAAATTTGTTCCATTAATTAATGTACAGGGTGTTTTTATGATGAATTTTCAGAAATTGTCAAGAGTAAAGTACCTTTGTTTTGAAAAATATCAAAAATATTTACTTAGAAAAGTTGTTGAGAATTAAAAGCTATGGCATTATTTGTATTTTTTATTTCTCGTTTCAATTTAAATAAATCGTTATTAAATGGGGACCCATAGACTTTTTTCTTGAGATAGCCCCATAAATAAAAGTCTATTAGAGTTAAATCAGGACTTCTAGGAGGCCAAGAAATAGGGCCATTTCGTCCACTCCACCGCGCAGAAAATTGACCGTCTAGCCATTCTTGAATGATTCACGTTGAATGTGATGGGCGTCCGTCTCTTTGAAAGTAAAGAAAAAAAAAACAAAAATGGCTTATCAAATTGAAAATTGACAATCTGCCATAACTTTTAGATCTCAGGAACATTCTTAACAATTGATTCTCGACAACTCTTGACAATTGACAATTTCTGAAAATTCATCGTAAAAACACCCTGTACATTAATTGGACTAATTTTTCAACTTCTTAGTTTAAGGCCAAGCAGAGATGAAGCCCAGTTCAAATTTCAACCCAAAAAATTTTTGTCATTTACACCCAGTGTGCACTCAATCCGTGGACACACTATATAAAACTACGCCGCCAGCTTTACATTTGCCTCCACTTTTAACAAAATATTTTAAAAACATAGTGAATGTTTTTATAAAACAGGTTTATTTTTCCGTCTTTTAAATTTGCAAATTCACTTATAATGTCTTTAACTGAGGATCGGCACTAAGACTTTGCAATAATTCTTTTGCTGTCGTCATCACTGATAAGTTGTTTAAGCACTCTTTCATTGTATTTCTGTCTCAATGCGCTTAGGACACAAAAAGCTCCTTTCTATCGAGACACTTGTCGCAGGAAAAACTGAGCAAAACAATATGTATGTTTCCGAAAATACCATTTTAAGTTATACAAGGGTATAAATAATATTTCTATTGTTTTTTTGAACTTCCAGATTACGAAATTGTTCATCTCTGTTCGAAATATTAAATTCGATTTTCAAAAACGTTTGGATAGATTTGTAATAAACATTCAGGGCCCCTCGGTCCTTCCTTCTTCCCCAACGTTGTATTCTGAACGCGATCTATTCTTCTATGTGAAATTTCCACTTTAAAAAGAGTCCTCGCCGAAAATTGACTTTTTTTAGTGCGAGAAACAGAGATGGAGATTTTGAAGATGTCAAAATAAATTTTCTCATTTGACGTGTTTTCCCGGTCGATTGGGCCACGGTTGAGTCGTTATTTGACAAACTGTCGTCAGGCACCGGTTCCGATCTTTTAGAGAGGCTACTTTGACAATAAAACTTGATATTTTCAATTTTCTGTTTACATTCACGGAGACCCAAAGTTTCCAATAGCCTGTGCAGGCCCCATCCAGTGTTAGATCGCCGTAAGTCATTTCGTAAACTCGCAACTGCGAAGCCGAAGGTCCGGGGTTTGAATCGCAGGCAGGTGGCATTTTCTCTTTTGTTTTTGAAGAATGTTATATATTATTTACCAACCCACAGAGAACGCACTCGAGCCGCGAAGTCCGCGTCAGCGGACTTGCGTACCTTTCCAGTTAGTATCTTCTAAATTATCTTAAATTTTGTCTTACTTTTTTTGTTGAAAGGAAGTTGTTTTTTATTTACTTTAAATTAATACCTGCCTTATCCTCTCCTTATCCTTAAAACCTTTGCACCATCCCTCACACTAACATCACAGACTACCCGCGTACTATGCGACGCATACATTAACCGCAAACTGAAACTATAAGAAGCTTTGAGCCGGCCTCAGTTCCCTCGCAAATCACGTTATTTTAACTGCCTCATGTGGAGGGGGAACTGTAGCATATTCTAGGCAAGTGTGACGCTCCAACAAACAGAATTTCTGGCCTCACTGTGGTGTGGACTAGTGGAAACGGCAAGTAGCAAGATATTTAAAAAAAATTTTTATACCGTTACATTGTTTTTTTGATAAATGTACTAGGTAATTGGTTTACCTAATTGCATTGCGGGTCGTTCTTTAATTGGTCGGGTCTAAAAATAAAACGGAAACGTGTTCCAAATAATATTTATTAATTACCCTAACAGTACATAACTGATAACTACTTAGAATACGATATTAGAGAAATATAGGAGTAGTTTAAGTAGAATATACAAATGGTCAAAGGATAAATATGCTGCGGGCAAATTACTCGGCTCGAATCAAGCCGACAAAAATGAAACACCCCAAGAGTATAAAAAACTGTAAAAAAGCTTTCGCGACCTTAAAACTTCGATTACATTTCAAATTTCAAATAAATGCAACTCCTCGAGAAAAAATACCGCTGTTTGGTTAAAATTAATAAAGAATCATCGTTCAAGGCAAAAATCGCTGTTCGCTCGCCATTTGCAAAAAAAATGGAATCCTTAACCAAGACGTTATTGTATAGTTTATATAATTAAAAATTACAAATACTACGTGTAAAATATCATCCAAAATTACCTACTCTAAAAAAAGGCAACATGGTATAGATTTTTATATACACAACCTTCAAAGTTACAAAGAAACGGACGTGAAATTTAAGGAATTTTTAGAAAAATAATGGTGGCGTCTTCGTAACTTTGAATAAAAAACTTGTTGAACCGTTATTTACACATGAAATAGTCTTTCTGCACAAACGTTAGTCGCTTTCCAGTTAACGAGATGTTTAAAATGGAACAAATGGAAAAAATTCAAAATCCGACGTTTGCGTACAAAAACCGAGTTACAGGAAGCACCAGGCCGTGTTCTGAGGGAGCAGTGTAAAAAATAAAATATTCACCTTATTGCGATTATGTATCGTTGATACTTTAATAAATAATTATAATAAACGTAATTTTGAGAGTACTACCTTAACGAATTTTTCTATATAGCCCGTTAACCAAATGGCACTACAATCGAAACGGAAAACTAACCAGTAATTGGAATGCGTTCTTGTTAAAAACAAACTGAATTCAAGATCGATAAAAAAAAAACAAAGTATTTCATAACCGACAGATCTGAGGCGTTAGCTTTTCAATTGCATAGTATCACAATAAAAACTAACAAGGAAACAAATTTATAACAAGTTAAAAAATACATATATAAAAAGCCATAAACTAACAAAGCCAAATAAATTCTAAGGCCACTTAAACGAGCGAGAAAGCTCAGCACCTCGTCGCCCGAAAATTAATACTTAACGCTTAAGTAAGAACCAAAAGTTAAATTTTAATGGATATGAATTTCTCATATTGAGCATTTAGAGGTTATTTCCGTCCAATCGTCAGGACTTACCCCTCGAGAAACCGCTAAAAAAAACCTAAGAAAACAAGCTTCGGCTGCAAAAAAAAACAAAGAAAACTTTATAGGACCCGCCAATTTTTCGACGGATACCCCCTGCCGACTGGACTTAGCGCTGCGCGGCACCGCCGTTACTCGGCGGCACCGCGGCGGGACAATCGAATCGCTAACGATTACAATTATGATTTGACAAAGATAATTGACACGGTTTACATGTTCTCGAATTGGTCCACGCGACGTTTGGTGTTGCCCTTGCGGATCTCGCGGAGGGTCTTGTACTTGTCCCTCCCCTGGCGGACGTTCTCCCTGTGGATCTTATCCATGGCCGTTTCCTTGGTCTCGTCGCGGGACTGGGCCAAATCCTTCTTCAAGGCCTGGAAGAGAGATAATAAGTCAGCGGCGTTCGATTTCGCAATTGAAAAGACACAAAATCAATTAACGTGTCGACAAAAATTGAGTGTATTAAGAAATCTCATGCAAACACTGTTAATTCGTGTATTCTGACCCTCTGTTGATATTTATATGCAATAATACCGTTTCTATTGAAAGAGGTTAACTTCTTTCATTCAATTTTTTTTTTGTAACTTTTTTTTAAATGCTTAAATTCACACATGAATTATTCAGAACTAATTGCTGCAACTCTGGTTCTACATTTGTTAGACGAATATTCCTGAATTCTATAATACTCGCTAGTGAATGTTCAAATATTAATATCAATCTGTCTTTATATATCGTCCAACATCTTTAAAAAACGAACTATAACTCAAACCCTTTAATTTCCGCTCCACGCCTATGTAGACGAATAATTGTGAATTCTATTATTTCAGTGTCAGAATAATTATTTAAGTACTTTGATGTGTTGATTGGCTAATTGCCAAAGAATACAAATTTTTTATCCATATCCGATAATACTGAATACATGAACAACATAAATGTAATGCTGGAGTTACATTTATTTACATACTCAAGAATATTATTTTACAAATATAATTTTTTTTATCCGTGCTCAGATAAAAGTGACAGTATTTATTATTACTAATACCTCATCCATACTAGATAGTTTGTGGATGAATATTCAATATTCAGTCAAATTAATGCACATATGAATACAGAATTTTGTATTTGTTGCCAAATTTCCAGTAAATCTTGTTTACTTAAGTTGGTAAGTATAAAACAAGTACAAATCTCAGCACTACGCTTGCATTGTTGAGATACAAGTATTCAACACCTTTGGGATAAACACCTATATTCATAAATTTTTTTTATCAATATTTTGGTAAAGGTGACCGAATTTTGAATGTTCACAGTAGCATTGTTCGTGAATCAATATTTAATATTCAGTCCATTCAATACATGCATAAGTAAAATAAAAAAATTGTGATCATTGGCAAATATTTAGTAAATTTCAGCTCCACACTTGTATCTACAATATTTAATATTCAGTCAATTTAATGCATGTATAAATAAAATACAAATTGTGTTTGTTCGCAAATATTCAGTAAAGGCTTCAAATTAGTAAATCTACACAAACTCAGCTCCACACTTGCATTGTTCGTGTATGAATATTCAATATTCCAGCAAATATTCGATATGTTTGAATAAACAGAAATGTTAATGAATATTTTTCAACATTTATCAACACTTGGATAAAGGTGACCAAATATTGAATGTTCATACTTCAGTCCACAATAGCATTGTTTGTGAATGAATATTCAATATTCAGGTAAATATTCGACTTGTTTGAATAAACAGAAATGTTTACAAATATTTTTATCTACAATTGGATAACAGTGACCAAATATTAAATGTTCATACCTCATTCCACAAAAGCGTTGTTTGTGAATGAATATTCAATATTTGGTCAAATATTCGACTTGTTTGAATAAACAGATATGTTCTTGAATATTTTTATCAACACTTGGATAAAGGTGACCAAATATTGAATGTTCATACTTCAGTCCACAATAGCATTGTTTATGAATGAATATTCAATATTCGGGTAAATATTCGACTTGTTTGAATAAACAGAAATATTTACAAATATTTTTATCTACATATGGATAACAGTGACCAAATATTAAATGTTCATACCTCATTCCACAATAGCATTGTTTGTGAATGAATATTCAATATTCGGGTAAATATTCGACTTGTTTGAATAAACAGAAATATTTACAAATATTTTTATCTACATATGGATAACAGTGACCAAATATTAAATGTTCATACCTCATTCCACAATAGCATTGTTTGTGAATGAATATTCAATATTCGGGTAAATATTCGACTTGTTTGAATAAACAGAAATATTTACAAATATTTTTATCTACATTTGGATAACAGTGACCAAATATTAAATGTTCATACCTCATTCCACAATAGCGTTGTTTGTGAATGAATATTCAATATTCGGTCAAATATTCGACTTGTTTGAATAAACAGGAATGTTTACAAATATTTTTATCAACACTTGGATAAAGGTGACCAAATATTGAATGTTCATACCTCACTAAACAATAACATTTTTTATGAATGAATATTCAATATTCGATCAACTTAATGAATATATCAAACAAATTTAGTGTTCATTTTTGACTTTTTTTAAATCACCAAAATCCTCAACTTCTGAGTTGTGTGTTTCATTGAACGTTCAGGCAATTGAATGCATGAACACAAGAAAAATTCGTGTTCCTTGGTGATTATATAAATATTTAGCTGAACAGGCATGTTTTCCATTTTATGTTGTTAAATCAACATATATTAAAGGATCCCAATAATTTCTCTAATATTGTTTTATCAGGTTTTAAGCAGTATGTATGCACACTCATGCATTCACTAACGAATATTTATAGAATACACAAATATTCGTCCGAGCTAAAGTAGACCTGAAATAGAGGGCCTGAATAATCGATATGACTACTCACAAATAATTTTAATTGACCAATTTAGCAAATATTTATACTGAACATTCACCAGCCTCACTAGCGGACATCCCCCAAAGTAACTAAGGAGCGTTGGTAAGAAATTAATGTGACTATTGAAAACATTAAGTTTTTGTTTTGTTTTTTAGACTTGTTAGATTTGAAATATGCAGAGAAATGCAGCCTTTGCCGTTAATGAACATAACATGCAGAAAAGCCAAGGACTAAAAACAAGTAACAACAAAAAAAATATGGTGTGCAGTGTATAATTATTAATAGTACTACGACACGGAGTTATTTTAATCAACACGAACAATCAATTAAATACCTCGTGCAATTTTTTCCTTTTTTTGCACAGTCCGCAACAAATTGGACCCTACAATAGGAAAACGATGATATTTTTAACGTTATTAATCCTTAGCTCTTCACTCGACTGATACCTTAGAGATTAGATTATTACACCAAATTTGGAAAAAGCAGCAGGATCGTTTATTATTATTCAAAATTATTGAATAGTTGAGTAGTTGTTCCTTTGCACAATATTGGCGACACGATAGTGCCCTGATGAACAACTGTGGTAAACTAAATTAGAACTGCGAGAAATTTACATGCATTGAATTGATACAAATTATCATTTTCTTCACCACAATGAAAAACATGTTTTGGTTTTTTTGTGCATATTTTTTAAAAAATGTCTCAAAATGTTTATTTTTATAATTTTCTTCTGTATTTGTTTTGGTTTTCTTTTTATCCTACAACTTTTTCCTTAAACTTTTTTTAATAGGATTTCATCCTGAAAAGTTATCGGATCTTTTTGGAACACCCCGTATAAAATGCACTTGTAATTCGCTGTTTTAACAATAGCAGAATATTAATGAAATTATTATTTTAAATGAAATAAATAGCAGACTTGATATTTAAACCGTTCTTAAATCCTCGTCTAAGCCATCACCGGGCAGCGCCGAACTAGGTTATACGTGCATGTTACATGTCGAAATACTGAACATTAAAAAATATTTGTGTTTTTGCCGCTTTATATACATAAAAAATAAATATAAATATTAATCTAAGAGATAACAATTGTTTTTTAAATTATTTCAAGTTTTTAATAAAAAGTATTTTCTACTTTTTTTTTAAAGCACTGTGTTTAGTTCGTGAACCTCAATGGCACCGACTTGGTTTAGGTGAACTACATAATATCAATCCAGCCATTGTGGTACGGCAACAGGGTGTTAGGCGGGCAAAAAACAAACGCCCAATTAATTCGACATAATGAGAAAGGCCGAAAATTCATAATTTACATTTATTTTAGTTTATAGTTTCGCATTAAAAAGCTACATGCCCGTTTTTAGATCTGTAATATATATCTGTATGTATATCTGTGATAGAAGTAACAAAAATGTATCCGTGTAATTTTATTGTTCACGCCAATGAACTGACAGATTCTAGTACAAAATTGAGGTTATGTATTAATTTTTTCAACAATTTCTTCCATGTTACAGTGTTACGACAATAATTTTATATAACCGTTCTAATTTTTTTTCTCTCATTTCACTTTTTTTCTATATCGGACGTTTTACGAGAAAAACTGTTCGTGCAATTCTAGATGCGCAAGAAAACACTTTTTTCTAATGTCGACATTACCAGCAAAATTTGAAAGGCTCATTTTTTCTTAACTTATTTGACAGTTTGACCTACCTGGAGCTGATCCTGCAGACGCTCGTTGCGCTCAGCGAGGGTACGTCTGTCCTCGATGGGATCCACGATGTTCTCGTCAGTGCTAAGATCCTTGCTGACGTCGCCGTTCACCAGCTCGTCGTCCTCATTGTGGTCGTTCTCCTCCAGGTGCCCCTTGGTGGCGTTGGCGATCTGCTGCTGTTTGAGCTCCTCCTCCTTGCGGCGGGCCGCCTCGACCTCATCCTGGAGCCGCTTAGTCTCGTTATCCTTGGCCTCGACCTGTAAAATATGGTGCATCGATATTAGATGTGCATATTGGCAAGTACCTGTAGTGCAAATGAAAATTCAACTATTTTCACAACTAATTCAGGAATACGACTCAAAATACTATTAATGTCAAATATGTAGCAAAAAAAGTTAGGTAAAAATAAAAACGCAGAACAAATAAGAGAGATTTTAGGATTTAGTGAATAACGAAAAAATTTGTACAAGGTTAAATTTTCGTATTATTTTTTTTCTGTTTTAGGTCAATTTATATTTTTGTACAAATCTTTTTTTTATAAATTAAATTACTAAAAATCCAACCAAAGATATTAAGATACAGGGTGTTACATAACTCCACCGATACAGAGCAGGCACGTGTAGAGGATCTTAAAATATACCGATTTATAATGTAACATTTTTTTAAGTTTCTGTTTATTTTATAAATTCTTTTTCCTTGTTTATTTTTTAATTTTGAACTTACCGGCACAAAATTTTTTACTTTATTTCACAAGCCAAATTAGGCAGACTGGGATATTTTCCTTTTTAATTGATCAATTTAATTGAAATGGACAAATTTCCGGCATATTAAAAACAACGTAGAGAAAAATTAGAGATAAAAACACAAAACAAAAATCAGAAAATCCACTTTTAAGGGAGAAATTTTTTGGAAAGTAGTAATTTTTTTCATTCATTTTGATCGTATTTATTTTTTTGTACGTTTATTTCATAAATTCCATTTTTGTCTATTGTTTTATTTCAAACGATTTCATTGAAATTAAATTTCTCTCTTAGATGTCAAACTCGATAAAACGCACAAGAAATCTACGACATACGATATCAGTCGTGGACGATGAATTTAAATGACGAATATTAGTTGAAAATGACTGAAAATGAAAAAATTGTATATTTTAGTATCAAACGTAACAATTCACAATATTAATCATAATAATATGAATTTTGCAAATTTAATGGTACAGAAACAATTTTTTTAACAATTCTAAATTTTTCCTACCTCTTCCTGGATGCGTTGCACCTCCATCTGCTTGGCCCTGATCTCGTCCTCCAGTTTCTGACGTTCGGCAGCCTCCATGTTTTTGCTTTCCTCCAGGCGCTCCATCATGGCCTGTAATTCGTTCTGCCTCTTCTCCAGCTCCTCCTTGGCGGCCTGGAGCTGTTTGAGTTGCTCCTCCAGCCTTCTGATCATCTCCTGCGCCTCTTGCAGGTTCGCCTGGCTTCTCTCCATCTCCTCCTGCATGGCTGCAACGATTTTAAACGTTTAAATTGAATTTTTTCCACGAAGAAATACTTTCCGCGAAGGTCAAAATTTGACAGAATTATATCGTACCTTTAATCCTGTCCTCGTACTCCTGCTGCTTCTTCTCGGCCCTCTCGCGAGCTGCGATCTCGAACTGCAGCTTCTCCCTCTGCTGTTGCTTGGCCAGTTTCTCCTCCCTGGCTTGGGCCTTCATCTGCTGAACGTCGATGGTGTCCGGCTTCCTACGCCGCATGTACAACTCGTGGTTGCCCATGCAGAGCGCGAGGATTCTCTTGTTGATCCGGACGCGTGGCGCGAAGAACACAAAGTCAGGCGCTTTCTTGTCGATCGGTTTGATGATGAATTTGCGGTCGTTGAAGGAGATGTTTCGGATCTCGGACCACGGGAAACCGATTTTCGGGGTTAGCCTGTACAAAAAAAAAAACACCGTTTCAGGGAAAATTTTGGAAGATTTCTTTCAAACTTACTGGTCGTCTTTTTCATAAATATTGAGTCCCAGGGCGTCGACGCCGAGGTACAGCTCAGTACCTTTCTTGTTGCGGATTTCGAAGTAGTTCACGCCGTACATCTCGAGGTCCTGGGCGATCTTTAAGTACTCCATCATGGCGTCCTCGCGGAGCATCCCCCTGTGTTCCTTCCACCACGTCATTATGCTGTTCTCCCACTCCTCTTTGGACATCTTGTGTTGATCCATAACTCTGAAAAGACCAACTAAATAAGTCGCACAAAAAAATTATTATTTATTGTATTTGTGGAGTAGACATTCTTTTTATTTAGTTCCCATTTTCAACAAGTGTTCCAAATAGAGATAGAGACAGTGTTGTTGTTGTTTGTAAATTATATTGGGTGTTCCATATATTCAAAGGTAGGCGGAATAGCTGACCATAAAACAATTTTTTCCTATGGACTATGGGACTATTGTCTTTTGTTTCTGAGATTCAAGATTCAGAACCTTCACAAATGATTACAAGTCACGTGACCAATAAGTTTGTTTGCAAAGTAATTTTATTTCCCTCAAATTGGCAATTAAATTCTGAGAATGTTGTTAGTTTTCAAGTATTTAGTAAACGTGATAAAAAAATTATGTTTAAGGTGGCCATATCTCTGGCCGAGAAATAGTCAAATTTCTGGCGTTTTTAGGTATCTTGAAAAGTAAAACGTGTAGAACAAAAGTAAGCACAAAAATAAAATCCTTGATGTTCTGTTTATTCATTGTTACTATTTAGATTTACTCAAATAAAATAATAACTAAAAAAAGCGTTTGTAAAACATGCGTTTGCTGTTATCCTAACCCCACATTTTAAGAATTATTTTCACGTACTTATAAATAAAAGTAAACAATTTTATATGTAGGACTAAGCAAGTAAATGTTATAAGAATATTTACATGTGGAGTTATATATAAAAAAGCTAGTACTTTCGTAGATTTCAGTACTTAAAACCTTGATGGTTTGATCGTTTTTTACACCTATTTATTCGTTTTACTGCGGCATCTTTGAAAATACTCAGGTGGCATGACATAACATTCCTATTATTTGATAAGCTTTAGATTATTCAGTTAATAAATGTTTGAAATCATGTGTCTTTGTGGAAAACACTATTTAAAGAATACGGCGCCCTTAAGGATAAAAGCTGATGAACATGGCACAAGTCAATAGCAATTTTCTCAAAAATGGTACACTTTCATTGATTTTACAGTCAAAAAATTCAGAAAACAAAAACTGAAAAAAGTTCTTTTTAAATAATTAAATGTATCAGAAAGATCATAGCTAGTAATCTCTACAAGAGTATGGAAAACTAACATTGAAGTTTCTAGCACTCACAAAAATGAATTTAATTTTAAGGCAACAAATAAGGTATTTATTTTCTTAATTTAAAATTCCAGAGCTAAATTTTTAAAATATGGAAATGTATTACTTTTTAACATAAAATTTTATATTTTTAAATTTTTTTGTCAACAAATATTTATACCAATTTATTATAATTGTATAAAAAAAATTAAAGTAGTGTATTAATTTTCAAAATTAAAGTTCAAGTAAATAAAATATTTTATTAAATTTTTTTAGCTTCAGAAAATTTTTGTACTTTTTTCGAATTTCTAGGGGGGAGGGGGGCAGCAGCTGCCTAAATTAAAAAATTCGATAAATTTCATATCGAGCAATGTGTTAACACTGTCCAGCAATACGCAATTCAGTTGGTGTTGGTATCTGGAATTGGACCGTGTCGGAGTGTTTTTTTTGCGTACCACTATTTCCTTTTCTTGAAGTGTTTTCCAGCGAGTGCGCGAAAATTGGATTCGAAGGTGTCGTGAGTGCATCGAAAATGGTGGTGGATATTTTGGGCATATTATGTTGTAGTTTGTTTTGTACTTGTGCGTTTAAAAATTACTGAATTTTGCTTTTTGGTAGGTCCTTAAATTATTTTTAATACGTATGATTATTTGGACTACGTGAATCTTTGGGTATTTTAATTACACATTTTTTCATATTAATAATTTGATTAAAAGTTAAGTTCCTGCTTTAAGGGATTTATAATTACTAAAATTCGAGCTAAAATTTAAGTACAACACTATCTTCGTACTACAGATCTATAGATCGATACATTTTATTTTATTTATTTAAAAACTGGAAAACAATTGTCTTGAAATATACTAAATGTTTCACAATAATAGTTGTTTACATTTTTTCCATAGGACAAGTCTGCCGCGTGCACACATGGTGTGCATCAGCTGTGTAGCGTTATGTTAAGCGCTGTTGTCACGTTGTGATGAAACTCCCCAATATTAATACTCGCTGTATTTTGAAAACTGTTAATCTTACTCCCCTGAAATATACTTTTTTGTTCAATTATAGTTACTCTATCTCATGCTGAAGTAATGACAGTTAAACTTCCTACACCCTGTATATGACCGTTGATTGCCTAAATTTTGACCAAAATATTTGTTGATATTTTCAGGTTTTCCAGAAAGATTTGAAACATTTTTGATTTTTCCAATTTTTTATCCGTATCTCTCACTTAATATTTAACGAAGTACGATTATTTCAAAAATTCTGTATCGATTATAAAGTTTGCATCTTGGTTTTCCCCAAATGCAAAACATTTTTATTTGATTTAAAGAAAATCTAATAAATTTTACTCGTCTGAATACCAAATAAGGGCAATCTAGATATAATGGGGGATTTTGAGTTGAGGAGAAAATGGCACTATTTTAAAGGTACATATTTCGAAAAAAAATGAATAATTTAAATAAAAAATGCAGATGTAGAAAAAATCCAAATTTTTTCCAAGTTTCGGTTTTCAGTAACTGATATTCCAGATTCTTGAAATTCCCTGATCATTCCAGGTTTTCCCAGTTTTCCACATTAGTATACATATCCTGGATTGATTTAAAAGAAATATTTTCAACATCCTGTATTTCGAAAACAAAAGACAATAAGCCCGTGACCCATAGAAGAAAAATCATCTACCATTTTAACGTCTTAGTGTTGCTAAATTAATTTTAGATTAAAGGATATTTTTAATAAACATTTCAAAACCGCTTCACAAAATTAAGACAACTAACACACAAACCAGCATACATATATGTTAAATGCAAGCTACTGATTTTATTTATTTCCTAACAATTTTAGTGATTTATAGGAAATCCACAGTAAATAAAAAGAAAAAACGCCTTTCTTTCATTTATCAAAATATAGGAAGCTGTAAACACACAAATGAGAGTCATGTGAATATACAAGTGAACATGCTTGTGCGCTAAAAATAACAACACCATAGTATTCTATATTTACTGCATAAACATGACATCACGGTTATTAGTAGATTTTTAATAATTAAGTCAAACATTACGATGAACATTTTTTTAGAACAGTGTTCTTAGTAACTTAGCCGGCTCATAAATCGTTCAAGATTAAAGTCAGTCAAGGAACAAACTAACAAAAAAAAAGCCAACCAAACGCTTTGCATACCTCCTGCTCAAAGAACATGCAGAATGCAAAGATGCAGTAGTATTGCTAGAAGAAAATTACGAAAGTTAAAATTTATCCAAAAGTATAGCCGCTACAGTAAATCAAAAACATATGTGAATGTTTACGCTTTCTCCAATTTTTCTAAAGGAATTTTAAAAGGAAATCGCTTTTCTGTAACTCTTATACCTGCACTGTTATTGCTGAATGAATATAAATTAGCTTAGCCTAGAATTTCTAATAAAATATTTAAAATATGGAAGCCAATTTAATTCGGTAAGCATAATCCACGGCAATAAAATTGGCAAACACGAGGTTGATAAAACAAACAATGCTAATACCCCTCCCCGATAACACCTAACGAATACATAAAAAAAAAAGATTTGACGCGGATTTATTGCGTTCAAATCAGGACCGACCCTAGCCACTGCGACAACTCTTAAAAATGTTGTCATCTGATTTATAAAAGTAGAAACGGAAAAGAAGCAACAGATCTTATTCAAAATGTTTTATAATGATACAAATATGGTTTATACGGGATCTGATCTGTTAATGATGAGTAATCAGTGAGAAATTGAGAAAGAAAATAAAATCAATCGTCAATTGTGTCCTGGATAATTAGTTTAGATCAATAACTCCGCTAACAACTACGAACACGTTAAAAAAACGTGATGCAAAAGTGTAACAATGGTAACTTTTACTCCTGAAGAATATTGCGACAAAGTAATTACATTTAGCGCAAATTCGTGGTGTAATTTTACAAAATGCCCAAAAGAACTCGTGACAGGGAACATATTATGTCATGTGACAGACATTAAATTACAATGTTATGATGCAACTCACAAAGTTTTTCCTTTTTTTTTTTGTTATATAGTAGATTATTGAAATATATCCCATTATTTTCCTGAATTTATTTTTGGACGGATCCAAACAAATCACCACGTATCTTTACTCACCTCTGGGGAAGCAGCCTATCGTTGGCCAAGAACCCAGCATTGTGCATCCCTTTTTGATAGTCGCCATGTCTGGCTTGCACCGCATACGACGCCAGTAGGACGGAAGTTTCGGGAGGACAGTATATTTCGTCCGACAAGATGGCGTTCTTTACTTGGAGATAGAACAGCCTCAAGGTAATATCCTGGATGAGTTCTTCGGCGACGTCTTCGGGGTAGAATTTGGCGCGGAATTTGAACTGGAGGGGATTCTCTTTCTTGACGTCTTGGCTCATAACCTGCAAAAAGCGCCACTTTAGAATACAATCCATCTGATCAATATTTAAAGTTTATTCTCGGATCACTGATAAAAACAGAGAAAGGTAAAGGACCAAGAACATACCCTTGAGGACTTCTAAAAACACATGGTGGGTATTTGTGATTATGTACTTGAAATTAATTAAAATATTACTGACATTGTTTAAATTTATTACAGTAACGGCTAGATTTCTTGCATTATTTCTTTAAATTTATTCCTGCTTTAGTATGTATTTTTTTCAAATTCCTATTACTTTATAAACAAATTCTTTAGCGGTTTACAAATTGAACTCGAGTACATTCTCAATATTTACAATTCCTACGCGTATGTAAAGTAAATAAATAAATTGTTAAGATAAAAAACAAAGGAAATTTTTATATACGCCTACAATAATGCAATGTATTTATATTATTCACGTATTTTACCAACGAATATGACTTCAATGTATAGAAATTTAACAACTACAGTACCTATATAATAAATAACAGTGAAATATGTAGCTAAACATTGCACATTTTATTTATATATTTAGTCCAGGCGCTAGAGAAGTAAAAGTAGACTTTGGCGTTTGTGTTTGAACTCATCTATTTTGTTGTACAGAAAAATTTCAAATATTATGTAGAATAAGAATCCGAGTTTGCCTATTTCTAAAAACCATTGCTAAATCAGGGGAACAGCAAACATACAAGAAGGAAAATAACCCGTTTTTCGACATATTTTTCCCTGTAACATTGAAAGTAAGCCCTAAATAAAAAAAGTCTTTCTTTATTTTTTGTTTATTTGATGTTTTTTATAAAGTTTCAATAATTGCGAATCAAAAAAAGGTTGAATTTGCATTAACAATGGGCGAGAAATAGTAGATCATATGTATTTAGACCAATTTTTAAAATAAGTAAATATTTATAAATATTGATGAAACTTTGTGAACAAAGTAAAACATATGTCAATTCTACCCTAAAAATTTTGCAACGATCTATAGCGTGGTTTTCGATTGACAACTACTGTTAATTAAGAAAATTTCAGAAAGTTTATCGTTTACCGTGGGTTTAAATTAAGGTTTAGAAAGGGCACACAATTTTTTAGAGATACTTGTCATAATAAACAATGATCAATAATAAAAATATCTGCAATCGACAAAATCTTGCACACATAAAAACTACGTCGTAACCCCGTGCTTTTTAGCCAAATACGACAGCATTGTAATGTGTAGATTCTGATATAGAAGCGTAAAGTTAATAATAATTTATAGGTCACGTAATAGCGAAGTTGAGAGAAAAAAATATGTTTTTATAGCTAACTACAAGTACTTTCAATATCCGTTTAGTGCATTTTCGGTAGAAAACCGAAAAGCTTAATGAAAGAAAAATCAAGAAAGGTCAGTGGTCATTGGAATTTCTTGGCAGAGCGAGAGTGAGGATGATTGAGAGCAGTTGCGGGAACGGTAGCACTTATCAAGACGATTTTTTTTTTAAATTTGATATATAGCAAAATGAGAGGAATAAGAATATTCTTTTTTGCATTCGATTGTCGATTGCATAGAAAAATCTCTGGGCAATAGATAATTGTTTACAATTCTAAATGGTTATAATAGTGTAAAAACAGGTATTTTTAGTATTGATCATTGTTTATTATGACGAGTATCTCTAAAAAATTATGTGTCCTTTCTAAACCTTAATTTAAACCCACGGTACGTGATAAAGTTTTTGAAATTTTCTTAATTAACAATCCTGTCAATCGAAAACCACGTGATCGATCATTGCAAAATTTTTAGGGCAGAATTGACATATATTTTACTATTTGTTCACTAAGTTTCATCAATATTTTTAAATATTTACTTATTTTAAAAATTGTTCAAATATACATATGATTTTCTACTATTTTTAGCACATTTTTAATGTAAAATTCAACTTTTATATTCGGAGTTGTTGCGACTATAGAAAATTGGCAAATAAACAAAAAATAAAAAATTACATTTTGATTTAGGGCTTACTTTCAATGTTACAAAAAAAAATATGTCAAAAACGGGTCATTTTTGCTTCTTTTTGTCTATTTGTTGTTCACTTGAATTTAGCAATGTTTTTTTGGAATAGGAAGACTCGGATTCTTATTCTGCATAATATTTGGGATTTTTCTGTACAACAAAATAGATGACGAATGATCTACCGCCTGGACTAATAAGTTTTATTGAGTTTTAACAAAAATTTACAACATTTAATAACTTTGTGTTATTTTTAAAACTCAAATTATAGTTAAAAAAATTCGCAATGGGGTCGGAATAGCCTAAGAAAATATTTTTTTCCAGTTTATATTTTAGAGGTATTTTTATTATTTCTGGAATTTCATTTTTCTAATAAGTTCAACTATGTTACTTTTCATAATAAAACATCATATTTTCCAGTTTTTTACGGGACTTGATGAAGGATGATGTATGAGAAATACCTAAATCAAAAACGAGACATCCTGCAAACTCATCTTATGAATATATTCCTGAATTTTGGCAGACATGCGAAATGAATATGAATTAGTTGACACAGAAGTCATGTTTACCAACTAAAAGCTTGTTATTCGAATTCTGAAATAAATAGCAAGCGTGGAACCTGTCATGTTCAGAGGGATCAATGATTCTCTCCCAATTTTTTTTGCGCATTTTCTCAAATCGTATATTAAACTAATAACACGGGCTGACAAGATTTTAACCCAACGACACGAATATACTTTCCCAAAGGATATTGGTGCGCTGAATTCGAATCCAAGGTCCAAATTTCTAAATTGACTTTGGTTTTCGAGATATCCTAACCTAAAAGTGCCAGTATCGCGATTTTTTGACATATTTGACAAACCTTATGGGTTTATTAGTTCGGGATTGAGCGTATTAGCCTCTTTTGCGTGAAAATGTATTTCTTCTAGAGGGCGCCACCAGCGACCATTAGGACGCATTTAAATTGCCAAAACTGTTTGTGCCACGGTGTATTTCACTTTTCCCCCAACTTTTCTGCTTAAACAAGGTATACCTTTCTAATATATCTAAAGCCAACGGATTTCAACAAAAACGCGTTCAAATTTGTAAATGCATAAAGAAATTGTTTAAAATTGTAATGTAATTACACAAATATCGCGGTTACTCAAACATACGTTTAACAAGGTAGTCTTCATATTCAACGAGCACACCAAAAAAGGCAACAATACATTAATAAATTATGTGCTATAACGGCTGAATTAAATAGGATATTAGCGATGTATCTGTATATTAATATTCCACTTTTTAAGAGACCTCTGTAAATTGCAAGCAGTTGCAGGATACAACGCACAACGTCGAGCCGATTCTTTTCAGTGCACAGAACGAGTTTCTTGCTCGAGTGATCGAAGTAATGCCCGGTAATTAGGGGTACCTCAACCGAGAAATATTACTTATAATTCGGTGTTTATAAGCAGGTATTTTATATCAAAAACGAGGCAGGTGCGTGCTTAACCACCACGGGAAAACATACTTTTGCAAGCGAGATTTTTTTCTCCCTTTAATATAGGGGCTGCGAAGAAATATTTGTGTTTGTTTTCTCGCGTCCATGTTTGTTCCACTTTAAGATAAATGAAGAATTATTTACTGTGTTGTTTAGCAATAACTAATGACTATATTATATGCCTGCCAATAAAATTTAATTGTTTTATGAACCAAAGCAATTAATAAACTAACAATAAGTTCAGTTATTTAGATACGAGTCTTCTGCGAAATTAGAAGAAAATTGCTCGTGTAATTGTCTTTAGTTTTTTTGCCACTTTCAGTGAAATTGGATTAAAAAATAACTCAATAAAGAAATAACGTTAAATGAAGTTGAGTATTTATTTACATCAACAGCATTTTTGTTCAGATATAGATGTTAAAATCATCTAGAGGATGTGTGTCATATCCGATTTGGTAAGAATGCGGTTGTTCTTTTTTTTAATGATTCCTTTATCGCTGAAACAAGATAAAAACCAAGCTTTTATGGTTAATAACGTTTTTCTCGCCTTTGGATTAAAAAACTCAAATGGCAACTATGGTAAGCTTATAATTCACCAAAATGCAGATGTTCATTACAAAATCTACAAAGTAAAGTTCGTCTATGAAATTTTATTACTTTATGAGGCGTTAAAGTAATTAGTAATAATTAAATTCATTACTCACTCTGGTGGTCTACCTGATTATGCGAAATTCAACAGAAATTACGTAATTATGTTTATTTTGTTATTAGTTTAATGGCTTTCTGAATCATGCATTAATTGAGGTTTTTAACAGAAAAATTATAATCTTCAAAGAAAATGTAATGCAAATCTTTGAAGGGAAAAATACAGTAAATCTTTGTTATACTGTTATCTTGCGTAATATTTAAAATTTACCTTTAAAATCTGAAAAACGAAGGTATTTCGTCTTTTTTTTTATTAAAATTGGATTCTGAACCATATCCTTTATTTTTCGCTTACTGTTGTAGATCACGTTATACAGGCTGTCTTCTAAAAAGCGCCGCAAGCCATAACTCCGTCATTTATAGTCTGATTTTAAAAACTACTTTTGTGGAATATGCATTACAGAAAATGCTTGAAAATATCAGTCAATACCGCATTATTAGCGGCCGTTAATAGACAACAAAGCAAGTAAATGTAATTTTAGCATTCGTGTATCATTTTTTTTACGCATTATACTCTTTCTGTGTGATTTACAGTAGGTTATTTATTGAAATAAGCTCAACAGTGCAAATTATGAGTAATGATCAATTGATGGACATGATTCAGGTATACTTTCGGTGTAATACAAATCATGGTGCAGGAGTCGGCCTTTACAAATAACTATTTCCTCACAGAGAAGTTCCAGAACCACGTAGATTTGTAAGACTTGAAGAAAATTTGAGAAACTATGGTGCTTTTCAGAAACCAAAGCGAGAAGAACGCCAATTTAGTGAAAACATCGAGAAAACCCAAGAATTTCCATTCGGGAAATTTCTAATA